TCCTGAAAGTAATATATTGGGACAAGTTGGTCAGGGCTATAAGTATGCTATTGGAATGCTGAATGTAGGAAGAATTGGCATAGGTGCGCAGGTGAGTAAACTGCAGAATATAAGAATCTGATGTAAACTGTACCTGGAGTAGTTCTGATTGTCAGCACCTTGTTTTAAAGAGAATGTTAAAAAAAAAAAAAAAAAACTGTCTCAACTGTAATTAGAGAAATTAAAAGTAGTCTGTTCCTTATAAAAGCCCAGTTTTTTATCTGCCCTTTTTCCGGGCAAAACCTATTTCACCGACAGAAGCCAAGGATGAGATTCCATCTACTCTCATCCATCTTTTATGAAACCTTTGGATCCTTTTGCCGGCCACAACCAATCCATGGATAGAGGAACCCTTTGAAAATGGGGGTTCAGAATCTTCCTCCTCTGTACTGTTGCACGGCTTTGTGTTTTCCCGCTAGTGGGCAAATCAAAATCAAAGGGGGACTTTAACTCTTGATTTCCTCTTTGATTTTGATAATAATTGCCCCTGAGTTGTTAAGCTTTAAAGGAAGCTCCATATCAACACACAGAGAGAGCTTAGGGGCATGAGAGAGTCACTTAAGGGGGAGTGAGAGCAGCAGGTATGGAGGCAATACTGTTCATGAAGCCCCTGATAGTTGTTTCCAAAGAAATGCATCCTTTGGGGATAAAAGCATTGTGTCCACACAGAATTAGGACCAAGAACAATTTTAGGCATGCTCAAAAGCCTGAGCATGCCCAGTTGGATTTTTGCCTTTTTTTTCCCTTTGAACTACAGGCAACCACAGTATACTACAACTTACTTTTGAACATGCCCTCTGTCTCAAAAATAGCATATTATGAGAAAGGAACTATTTTTTCTTTTTAATATAATTGTATTGGAAGTTTTAAAAACAAAAGCAAAAATTAACACGAACTAAAATAGAATAAGAAGGCAAAAAGAAAAAGGAAGAAGTAAAAGAGAAAGCTAAAGTGCAAAAAGAAAAAGGTAGAAGAAAAATAGAAAAGAAAGAAAAAAGATATAAAGAAGTGGCTTCCAATCTTCTTTACAGCAGTTATAAGTACAATTGTAGGTTTACCTCTTTCTCTAAAATTATATCACGACTCTCTCTTTTCTATAATCTATGCTATCTAATCATCAAAAGAGAAAGGAACTATTTTTCAATCAATTGAAGTCATAGCTTGTATTGTCGAAGGCTTTCACGGCCGGAATACGATGGCTCATGTGGGTCTTCCGGGCTGTGTGGCCGTGTTCTGGAAGTTTTGGTTCCTAACGTTTCACCAGCACCTGTGACCGGCATCTTCAGAGGACAGAAGCACAGACGGGCGGTTCTTTCTGTGCCCAGGATGATGTGACCCTTTTGTGGGTATTTATAGAGATCAGCAAGGGTACCTGCGGGGGGGCGGGTTGTGGGTTAACGAGTGGCTGCTTGTATTGGTGATTAGCATATGTATGCATCTTCCTGGGGGGTTAGGCAGGGTTTTTTGTATGGAGTTGTTAATGAGTTAAGTTGCTATGAGAATTAAGGCACTTTACAATAATTTTAATGCTTGCTCATTTGTACACAGTTGCTGGGATTAGCACAGGGGTGTTTCGATCGTACTATACCATACACAAAGGAAAGAACCCAGTTTGGAAAAAGCATCTTTGATTTTCAGGTATTGATTGATGTGTTCTGTGAAATAGGTCTAAAGATAAAGTATAAATAATTATGACTGGTAGAGATAAACACTATAGGCCGTACTGTTACTATTCTACTGTAGCTAATACTGAGTAATTACCATAAAGTATTCAAGTTGAACATATCTGAAGTGTTACTACCATCCCAAAATTCTGCAACTCAGATGAAAGTTGTTTTCCTTTTATTATTTCATATGTCAGGACAAAATTCATCTGACATTTTGCCAAGACAGCCAACAGTTGTAATCTTGTCATGTAGTAACAGAATTCATTTGCATTGTCAATACAGCTAGCAGTTGTAATACATACATATTATATACTGTATGTAACACATTTTAATAAATGACAATGATAACAGTGACTTCCCCTTCCTTATCTAGCTTTTTTTTTAAAAAAAATCCATTTTTGTCCATTCTAGCCACTCTACACACTCACTAACTAAGCACCATTAAACAAAATTAGATTTATAACTGAGTAGAGGATTGCTAAGAATTGCAAGGATGCTACCATAGGTTCGAAAACTCTGTGTATTGTTGGTGGTCATGAAAGGAGGGTTAATTTTTCCTGAGTGCAATGTTTCAATATAAGTTCTATTTCTAAGGGAATGCAACATCAGATTGCTCAAGTGGCCATTCAGATAGAAGCTGCAAGGTTGCTGATCTATAATGCTGCCCGACTTGCAGAAACTGGGAAGCCATATATAAAAGAAGCAAGTATGGCTAAATATTTTGCAGCAGAGGTAAGATCACTATTTTTCTGTTTAAATGTTAGGCAGAATTAAAGGGGAATTATTACTTATTCCAGTTCTCAGCCTGTTTTGTTTCAGTAGGCTATGTGAAGGGGAGGGGGGAAGAAAGATGAAAACTGGAATCTTAAATGTATTTTGCTCAAATTATTTAAACAAGAAAATTATTTCCTACTTTAAAAGACAGAAATTATAAAATTGGGGTGTGTATGTGTGTGTTTGCTAAATAGAGCTTATATGCTGCTCCAGTCCCAAAGGGTTCTGAGTGGCTTTTTTTTTTTTTTTTTTGGTGCCTTCAAGTAATTTTATTGACTCCTGGTGATTTCCTGGACTAGTCCCTGCAGTTTTCTTGGCAAGGTTTTTGGAAATGGTTTGCCATTGCCTGCTTCTTCCTAGGGCTTAGAGAGAGGGACTGGCCCACGGTCTCCTGGTTTCTAGCCCGGAGACTGGTGCCACACCTAAGTGGCTCTAAATGGCTAACAGACCCTCTTAAATTAAGCAAATTAAACACAAATCAGAGTGTGCTATTATTGCAGACTTTATTGTTTTATTGAATGTAAATCTAATCCTATATAAATTCCCTCTCCCTGAAACAAAATTCAAGTCCAGGCTACCAGGAGCTCAAAGGTTTGGTTTGGTTTGGTTTGGTTTGGTTTGGTTTGGTTTGGTTTGGTTTGGTTTGGTTTGGTTTAATTATCCCCATTTAATTTTTTG